GCTTTTGATACATTTAGCTGTGTTCTGCTTTGTATGTGTTGTATTTTATTTGTTTCATATTTCTTATTTCATCCATGTTTTCAATTATTAGACTAAATTTTGCCAATAAATAGTTTGAAAATATATTTTTTGCAGCTTTTAGTTTTTAATGTTAATTTACAAAATGGTCACCCAACACTTAACAAAAGCCTCTACCTCCAGAGGTAGAGGAGCCAAATATCTGGCTCACTGCTGCCAACTAGTGGTCAGAGGCTGAACTACAACATAAAAATGAATGGCTGGCAGGAAAGTTTACATTTTAAACCTTAATAAAAAATCGATACAGGGCTTTAGAATATCAATACAGTATTGGGAAATGAAATATCGCGATATTTCAGTGTCTCAATATTTTCTTACACCCCTAATACATATCTATTGTATGTGGAAACAGAAGCGCTGTTTTTCAGATATAAACATTGTTACAGAAAGCACATATACTGTACACAACCAAATGCGATTTTTTACATTTCCACTAACATTTTTCACTGTGTTTGAGATAAAATACCTCTCCGTGATGCAAGTGAGAAAACACACAAATTTGTCTCTTCAGTCAGTTCAATTTTCTAAAATAAATGATATTTATTTACAGAATAAATGAACTATGTACAAATTAAGGTAATAACCAGAACTTTATGAGATAAACATTAACAAGAACCACTTCGCATCCAAAGTAATTACTGAAAATGTGACACTCAAAGAACAAGAACAGTACAGTAACTAGGTTTAGATCTTATCCAATCAGGGTTACAGGCACTTTAACTTATGGCAAGGTTTTTTAAGATTAAGAAAAGTAAAGCAAAATGAGGATTAGTTAAAGTTTTACTTGTTATCAATTATCTTATCAAAAGGTGAGAACCAGAACAGCACCAGGTCTGCGTCTCCCCGTCAGCTGGACCTCAGTACGCTCACACAAAAACAGCTTCTACGGTTTGGTGATTCAACCGTCAGTCAAGCAGGTGGTTGTAGTCACGCAGCTCGTGAAGGAAGCCAGCTTTGGTCCCAACAAAACAGTAAAAACGTCCATGTTTTGTTTACTGTGTCTCCAAAGATCTGCTTCTAGCCAGGCAACCAGAGTCCAGATTCTCTCTCCAGGTTCTCTTTCAAAATAAAAGTTCAAATAATGTAGCTTAAAGTGTATCTTACCCCCCTGTGAAAAGATAACTCCGACCCAAGGCGAAATTTGAAAAATGCATCAAAGTGGGTAGGGGTGGGGGGGTGGGTAGGGGAAGGGGGTTAGAGAGCAGAGGTGTGGCCAGGACGAGAGAACGTGACAGGCAGCTAGCATTAGCATAATTGATGCTACATGGA